TTATCATCAAGCATTTAAACAAATCAGTGTTTTCACTTTATAGCTTCTACATCAATCCTCCGAAAAGTTTTTCAGACTTGTCTGTAAATCAGCGCAGATTGTAAGGGTATCTTTCGGAAGTTTATAAATTATCTAAAATTCTTTAATTCGGATCAACAATGTTCAGTCGTTTATATGGACTATAGTAGCAATTCGATTAAGGTCTGGAAAACGTCAAGTCTACATACTTCATCAACATTATCACCGCCGCAATCTAATCGATTTATTTGCGCACATAGTATCTGTTTGATGTCCTACAACTTCATTCAGATTCGATAATCTGTATAGAAAATTGAGACATATGTAAAAGTTCTGGTCTTGCAACTAACAAGACGGCAAGACAAATTCAACTAAATTAAGTAATTTAAATATTAAAAACACTTTTAATTTCTGTTACTTAGGAAACAACATTTCAGATAACGATAGTAGTTAATAGGTCAATATGTCATAAAAATTGTTAACAAAATGAAACATCCATAAGATATCTATATCTATAAAATATATCGAACTTCACTGGAATTGTACACCACCAATATTAAGATTTGCCTCTATATCCTATCTGCCAACAGCGCATAACGTCTGTAAGGCTTCGTCATCCACAGTCTTTGCGGTGTATTACAAGAATTCTACATAAAAGTAATTCCAAATAACTAATTATGGTTCAGAATTAAGTAACCGACAAATGGATGCCGTTGTTAACCGAATGAGCTATGGGGTATTCGTAAAAGGACAGTCGGGTTACCAATTGCCACTCAAAATAAACTAATGATCAATAATCAACTGATTTTTATAGTCGTTAGGCAATAATTATCACCGTTCAGCTACTCTTACATATTTAGTTGTGTTTGTTAGTTACTGATATATAGTTAGTTACGTCTTATATGCCTTATTTTTATATGCGGAGTATGAACTGTCATACTCCAAAATGATCTTTTTAGAGAATATAAAGGTACCAAAATAATTCTCATTAAAATGTTCAGATGTAAGTTTTTATTTCTTGATTATTATATTATTATATTTCTTGATTATTATATTTATTTTTAAAGTGGATCACTTCTTCAAATAATACAGTTTTTAAATTATTTTTAAAAATTAAATATAATATTATTTTTACTAATATTTCGACTACACTCTATAGTCACCTTCAGAATACTATAGTCGAAATATGCTAGAAAATAAAACACATAATTTTTTAAAATACCTATCCATAGCAGAAGTTTAAGAATACAGATAGACAAAAACGGCTTTGAAGATAACTATATTGCAATCAAAAAAAAAAAATAAAAAAGAAAGAGCTTCGATACGATATAACTAAAAATTCATGGGGATTGGGGCTAAAATCCTGCTGATTTATAGCTAAAACATATAACGTAATTACAACTATGAAACGCTTGTCCGAGAAAACGCAATTTTCCAAAGGTATGGAAAAAGCAACACCTGACATTGATAAGCAAGGCAAAATAAGAAGTATACCGGCCACTTTGCATGCTGGACACTGAAGGAAAGTTGCTTGAATGTTTGATAAAGAGCAGACTAGCAACTGTCATAGAGGAACCTGGTGGGCTATCGCCACGACAACATGGCTACAGAACAGATCGATCTACAACTGAAGCCATTCAGGACGTTATTACTAGTGTAAAATCAGTGTAGACTGCAAATCATCACTCCAGACCTATAGTTATCCTAGCAACTTTATATATCCGAAACGCGTTTAATAGTGTCAACTGGACCGACTTTCTTAATGCAATCAAACATAGATTTCGTGTGACCTCTTATCTAGTGAAATTTTTACAAAGCTACTTAGAACAGAAAACTCTTCTACCAGACATGTGATAAAAATTCAAGGAACCATACTTGGATCTGATCTTTGAAATATAAATTACAAGGAATTTTAGAAATAGGAATGCTAGGTAATTCAAACTTAGTGGCTTTTCCTAACAACGTGCGACGTATTAACTCAAATTGTGCTAATAACTAAGATCTGGCTAGATGATAATGGCTAAGACTTGCAACTGAAAAAAAGAAACACTTCTATTCATGAGAAGACACACTGAAAGTTGAGATGAACATATGTGAAGACAGATTCTATATGAAAAAAATAAATAAATACTTGAGACTAAATTCGGATTGGGCTCATTCGCTAAAAATAGCACATAAACATATCTAAGGCTGTATCTAAGGCGTCTGTGCTGGTCATCAATGGTATATCACCTATAGACTTAGCAGCAAAAGGAATGAAAATAAGGAAGGAAATGCATGCGACTCTAATTTCATACCTTTATAATAAATTGAATTACATTTCATTAACTACAAATATTGTATATATATTAATAGCTTTGAAATAAAATAAAAAATGCTTTCGTAATTATGTCAATTGTAAATAACAGATACAACGTATATATAAGTACTCGCATATAGCATGATTTTAGGTTTCAGTAGTATTTTTAGACGTTTTTGCTGATTTATTTATCGAGGAACAAAAATATTTTAGCTCAAATCAAAAAATTAAAAAGTAGAAAGAAGAGAGAAGTGTAATATTGAAAAAATATTTTAAATCTACAGTAATCAAAGACAAGAAACTAGATATTAAATTTGCACCCCTATCATCGAATAAGGTGTACTTCATAATGGTAAAGTTACTTATGTTAATAGTCCACTCCATAAATTTATTTGGTGTGGAAAAATTAAGGGGAAGCTAATTTTGTTCCTTGATCATTTATACTAAAACATTTGTATTTGTATATCATTTGTACTTCCATTAAGTATATAATTCGAAATCCAAATTCATAAAATTTTATTCTTTAGTTTCTTGAATATTCGTTAACATTTCATCGTTTGGATGATATGGACATTTATGCCAACGAAATGTGCTCGAATTGTCACTTCTTTCGATCTGTACGGAAAAAAAAACTACAAACATTGTACAAAACACCCTTGTACAAAATTAAAAGGATTTTGAAGAAATGATTACAGAAACTTTTATAGATTACTATTATTATTATAGAGGTTCATTAATTATTATTTTGCAAAAGATTATTAGTTCCTAGTGGAAAAATGTTTGATATATGGTATTCCGGTAAATATTAATAATAGATTCAATTTTTTTGTTTCTTCGAATCACGTTTCGCATTCATGTGCCACCTTAAATGTAAAATATATTTTAAGTATTTTAGAAATATCAGTGATTATCAATCACTACACAGTTGAAATTTACAACAATTAAATAGTTTGCCATCCAAAAAAATATGGTAATATCAGTTACTTGTATTATTTCAATAATTACCCTAAATGTCAATTATTGCTTACAAATAAAAATGGAATAAAATCGTCTCAAAATTTTAAAACTAATAAACATTTTTCACCTTAATTAGTTTTTTCTTTCTACTTGCATTAGCCTATCAAGAATAATCGGTTCATTATAATTATATAAATCCTCAAAAAAATCAGAGCAGTTAGTATAAATATATTTCAGAAATGTGTTATGAATCATTCAAATATTGAAACTCAAAATGATTTCACTGCAAATAACTTTGTGTATTCTTCTACTCAGTGCATTTTCCGGATTATCTAAAGCCGATGGTAAGAAGTACTTCTATATAAACCTATGGAATTCTAAATAAAAATAATTTACTAATTCCATGTAGATACTTGCTTAGGAGAGCAACGCTTTGAGTCCTTTACGAAAATTGGTAACAACTACTATTATATAGAACAAACAAATGTGGTAAGTTTATAACAAACATATACAATCTTGTGTATCTGTATATAATTACTTGAATAACTTACAGGTTAATTGGCATAAAGCAGTTGATACATGTCGCAGAATGGGCGCGGACTTAGCTACAATAAGATATAACGACCAAATAATTTCATTATCAAATTATTTGCTGTCTAAAGGATACAGAAATTTTTATTGGATCGCTGGTAATGATTTAGCCGAACAAGGAAATTTCTATTGGATTAGTAATGGTAGAAGAATGACATATGCTAAATGGACTCCTGGCGAACCAAATAATTTTGGTGGTAACGAACATTGCGTTCATCTACAGGAGCCAACTGGTGGATATACCATGAATGATAATGATTGTTCAAGGTTACTATACTTTATATGTCAAGCCCCTGAACCTTAAAAGGTGAAGAAATCAAAATTTATACGTTTTTTTAATTGCATAAATGTAAAAATTGCAAAAAACAAATTTTCATTAAAAAACTACAATTATTAAACAATTATAAATAAGTTTTACTTCGATAAGACTAGTTACAAGTTTAAAACATTAGCATAGTTCGTTAACATATCTTCTTAGAGCAGATTAAGGACAATACATTTCCTCGCATGGAAATGTTAACTCTTACACTAACACAAGTCCTCTTAACTTTTCCTAACAAATAGAATTTCAGAATAGAAGTACAGTACTGAAAAAAATTTTAAATCCACAGAGCCTATAGTTTCTTATCCGATCAACTGCAACCAAGACTTAATACCACGGTGTTCTTAACACACTTATCACACGTTGGAATATAGTTTTCTCTCTCAGAGAGAGCGACGGCTATCTAACAGCACCGGGTGGTGAAATGAAAATTTTTTTTTGCACTAACACTGAATTAGTATAATTATTCAGGAATGATTATTACAGCCCTTAAAGGGTCATTAAACAATATTTTTGTATGTTTTTTACGTTTTCTGACAAAGTGCTATTAATTGGAGAAGTGATTCTTTTGATTGAAATGAAAAAATCGTATAAGATGCATCCTTAATATATACTGAATATTGCGTATTAAAAAGATAAATACACAAAAAATCTTTCCCACAATTGTAAGATTTGCTACTGAAGGTTAATGTCGTGTGTTAAATAATTATAATAGATCCGATTTCTTTCTTTTTCGGAATCACGTTTCACATTGTGTCAGTTCAGAAGAATAATATATTTAAATATTTCAAAAATATGAATACATCAAAAATCACCATAAAGTAGTTATTTATAACAACTAACGAGTTTGTTAATAAGAAAATATGGAAATATCAGATACTCGTGATATTTCAATAATTATCGCAATAGCAATTATTGTTTAAAGTTAAAAATGAAAATGGAATATATTATTGTGTTTTACTTTCAAAACTGATAAATATTTTTATTTCAATTAGTGCTTTCTTTCCACTCGCATTAACCCATAAAGAGTAATCCGTTCATAATAATTATATAAATCCTCAAAGAAATCGGATCAGTTAGTATAAATACATTCTGAATATGGGTTTTTAATTATTTAAATTTTTAAGGTCAAAATGATTTCAATGCAAATAGCTTTGTGTATTCTTCTACTCAATATATTTTTCGGATTTTCTAAAACCGATGGTAAGAAGTACATCTATATAAGCCCATGGAATCCTAAATAAATATAATTCACTTATTCCATGTAGATACTTGCTTAGGAGAGCAACGCTTTGAATCCTTTACGAAAATTGGCCACTACTACTATTATATAGAACAAACAAATGTGGTAAATTCATATCAAATATATACAATCTTGTGTATCTCTATATAATAATTTTAATAACTTACAGGTTAATTGGCATAAAGCAGTTGATACATGTCGCAGAATGGGTGCGAATTTAGCTACAATAAGATATGACGACCAAATAAATTCATTATCAAATTATTTGCTGTGTAAAGAATACGGAAATTTTTATTGGATCGCTGGTAATGATTTAGCTAAACACGGAAATTTCTATTGGATTAGTAATGGTAGAAGAATGACATATGCTAAATGGAGTGCTGGTGAACCGAATAATTTTATGGGTAATGAACATTGCGTTCATTTAATGATAAGAAATAGTGAATATGGTATGAATAACAATGAATGTACAAATCTTGCACACTTTATATGTCAAGCCCCTGAACCTTAAATGGTTTAAATAGTTAAATTTTTGCTTTTTTTATAATAGCATAAATACTAAGAAATAAATAGATGATATGAAGACAGTTCGTAAAATAAGCTTTGGTATAAAAGTCGGTAGTTTGGACTATAAATTGCATTGTTTGCATCCAGAAACAGGCTTGTAGATCTGTTATAAAAGATATATGTTGCGTTGTAGACACCATGAAGGTTCTTTATTGAATTGAAATTTTTGAAATTTAATTTATTGAAATTTAATGCAAGCATATCGGTTTCATTTTTTTTGTTGCTTTTATTAATAACCATTTATAATGTCATCATGTAAAATCGCGCTATTATTGCACAGCAGTTTCGGAGTTAGATGATAGGTTATTGTCTTATGCCGTTTTCGATTGGTAAATCTATGGTAATTTTTTCAATCGAGATTCACTTTAAATGCAATTTTCATTTTCGATTGGTAAGTCTCCAGCGAAGTATATAATACTCGAGATTAATTTATAACTCTAGATATTTTGCCAGAGTAACAACATAACAACAATAGCTGTTTAATATTATTTGACAGGCAAAGTATTCATGAAATATTTAAATGGCTATCTATACTACTACAAAAATGTTTGATTGGGAAAAAAAATTTGACAGACAGAGTATAAATCTAAAGTGAATCCAGTTTTACCAATCGAAAACGCCATTTATCAGATGTTATGTTATGTTGTAGGGTCTCTTGCTTCGATCAAGTAGTTTTGGTTGGAGATGTTGGAAACGCAGAAATGTATCAAATGTTGCTATTACCACATTATTCCGAGGTTGATGGAGCACTATCAATGTTATAGAATATTAGTTGTGTATAGATTATAAAAAGGAATTATTTCTAACAATATTTAGCCTGTTATCGAGATTAATTTTAACATATTTAATGTTAAACAACACTTGTACAAAAATATGTGCTTGTAAAGATTCTAACGGACCTATTCTACGCACTTTATAAACTTATCAAACATTGACACTTGTCAAAATTGACTGCTGTAAAGGTTTTGGTATTCTGTGACATAAATAAAAAGCTCTTTTCCTTGTTAGTTGTCAATACTACAAATGCTGTTGACAACTATAAAAATATGCTCTTTTAAAGCATTTTTTATTTTATTTTATATATTTTAAATATATATATGCTAAACTAAAGATTCTGACTCTCTCGTATAAACTAATTAAACAAAAAAATTCGAATATTTCCTTAGACCGCTGATGATGAGTACTTGACAATACTCGAAACAGCTAAACTCTAATAAATTAACTAAAGTTTTTGTAGTTGTCTTTTCATTTCTATTCGATTCCCTCCTAACTTTGAAATAGTTTCTTCTCGGCATAAGACACATCACTTCCGACAAAAAAAAGTATCATTAAATATTTGTTTTTGGCTTGTTTATAACCTAATGATATTAATTTCATTTAACTAAACTCTAAGATAAAAACTGAAAATTTGCAGTAATATAAAGTACTTAATCTGTTTTAAAATATTTAAATCGTAATTTCAAAGATTTCAGTTTTATAACTCAAACTTATAAAAAATGTTTATTACTGAAAGTAAATATAATGATGCTGCATACTTTGAGTACTGAAGAAATGCAATTTTTTACGTCTTTTTCATTATGAAAGAACTAAATTAATGGAAAAAGTTGATATCTATAAAAATTTCTGAGACTGAATTTTATTTCTTAATTTCGTTTTTATATTGCCAAAGTTTCTTAACTTTGAACTAATCACCAACTTCTGAGCTCATTTTAATTTGAAATTTATTTGTTTGGAAATGAATTTGTTGAAAACTTTGATTGCACAAGATTCTTTCCATTTTCATTGTTGCTTTTGCCAAAAAATTTATTTTTACACTCAATTGAATAAAATAAATTTCAGGCCAAACTAAGTTAGATTAAAGTTGCTTGTTTACACGTGTGAACCCCAATTTTATTGTATTTTATTATTTTGTACCTTTGATGCTGGGAAAATTTACTTCTTTCAAATCTTTTAATGTATACGAACGAGTATATGCATCTCATAGATAAGTATCTCGACTGTCTGCTACGATTTCGAATAGAATAAAAATTCATTTAAGTTGCAAAAAATTATTGAGCAATGCTTGTATAGTAACTGCAATAAATACTTCGATATGTTGTTGTTATTATTGTTGTTGTTGCTATCTGTAACTTTAAAAAGAAATCTTAACATAAACTAAAGCACTAAGCGCCGAAAAGTTTTTCAATTTCTTTTCCATAAGAAGAAATGGAAATTGCTTAGCAAGGTACAGACTATAGATACTAAGCTTCTCTGTTTGAGTGCGAGCATGTTTTGCTGTATTACAAAATCACTTCTGAAGAAAAAAAATTTATCAGCATTATAGATACTACTTATATATCTATACTTATATCAGACCATTCTTATAAGGCCATTTGAAGTGCTTGTTAGCTATTGTTAGCTATCAGAACAAGTTTGAAGCAAAGTGTGAGGCACTTTAGTGTTGTTATAATTTTAAAAATTAAGCTTTTTCAATTTATGTTCTACTGAAAGAAAAAGAACGAAAGAAAATGTAGTTGTTATAAAACAACTACTGCATTTACATGACTTTGATCTGAAACAAAAAATCTTTAAATCTTTTTTAAATCACTTAATTTGAGATTATTGCAATCCCGCATACCTCACACGTTCTCAGGTAGAAATTCTTATGCCGACGTGTGCAGCAATTTTCTCTTAATTAATAAACGCTTTTGTGCCACTAACATGAATTGGCTTTTATGGCTAACCAGTCAAGATTTAAATCACGGACAAAACGAAATGTTCTACCCAAACGTACAAAATTAAATGTCAACCTGAACATGGCACTAGCACGGCATGGCAATGCAAGAGACAAGACCACAAAATATTAAAAAAAAAAAAACAATATTCCTAAAATAAAATTAAAAAGTTATAATACATATATATATATACCACATAGATACTTACCTCTGTAGAAATATATAAAAAGCTCATAAAACCACGTTAAAGTCACACTTAAAAACTCTTAAACACAATAAAACCACAAATGTGACTAGTAGGCCGCTCTCGGCTGTGGTAGTTTGTTCTATAATATTTTGTATCTTTTTTAAATTTTTGAATTTTTTTTATTAAAATTTTTTAGTCATTTTATTGCCTTCTTAGTGACAACTAAATTAGCTACAACAGCTCTCCGCTGTTTTCTCACCGTAAGTGTTGGCTGGCTAGCTAGCCAAGTACCTTTTTGGGCCATAATATGCGGGCCCTTGTACACCTTCGACCTTACTGGCTTTGCTATCCGCTCTGCGCCGTATTTGGTATCTGGGTGGGCGCAACTGAGAAAATATAAAACGAATCCGGAAAAAAGTTAAGCAGAAGAATTTTTTGTTGCTATCTTTCTAGTATGAAAGATTACGCTTTTAAGCCGTTCAGATGACGTTAACTAAAACAAATAACGTTACACATATTTACGTTTACGTGTGTGACCGCGGACACAATTTCAAATTTACCGTAAAATTAATGATGAAAGAAAACCTGACACCTGAAACCATACAAATAAACAAATATGCGTCTTCATTTCGGAAATAAATTTAACTATTTCATCTAAAAATTATTCCATAAAAAGATTTTATGTATTAAATGTGTTCAGCAAAGATCATTTTGATGACTTGAATATTTTAGAAGAATCATTTTAATGAAATGCCTTAATTAAAACGTAAGATACGTTTATTATTACTGTTATATTTTAATATAACATTTACATTTAATTATTTAATAAAGAGGTTTTTTCGAATAGTAGTGAACTACAACAACAAAAATTTTATTTGTTATATTATTTTTAATTAATTGAATTTTGGACTGACCAAACAGCTGTTTCGAGTATTACCAAATACCTATCATCAGTGGTCTTGTAAATAATTCTTGTATTTAATTATTCGTAAATAATTATTTTAGAGATTGCAAGTACCAGGATTCGAACTCGAGTCCTGCCAAATGTAAATTCAATTATTTAAAATATATAAAAATAACCAAAAAAGTTAACAATTCTGAAAGAATATATAAATTATGCAACAAATAATGTTTCTACAAACAGAACAGTATTTAAATTTAACAATTAAAAATAAAAATAAAATTAATAAATTCAAATATTCTACAGCTGGTTCCAGATTTCGTCCTAATATAAACACAGCAATTGAAGTTGTTAATAAAACTTTCACAGCAAATTAACAAAACTCCTTAAAAATATACGAACATAAAAGTCAAGTATGGCTTTGGATCAGTTGGTTAAGGAGCGCTGACTCTGAGCTTCAAATTTGGCAGGACACGAGTTTGATTTCTTGTACTTGCAGTCTCAAAAAATTATTTACGTATAATTAAATACAAGAATTATTTCCGAATTATTATATTTGGCAACACACGAAACAGAAATTTCAAATAATTAATATAATATAAAATCAATTTTTGTTCAAAAAACCTCATTGTAATTTCTTTATGGGAACTGTATGCCCTCATACTATGTTTTAACTGCTTACTTAATCAGTATAACTTACTAAGTAAATTTCTTTAACCATACAACAATTTTTCGTGCTTTTTAACTTACTGTACTTGAGAATAAAGTAATAGCAAATTCACACTGTCGCATTTAATCATCCTCACTAATGAGGATGATCAACCATACAGAAATCTTTCATATAAATATGCTCATTATCAATAAATCAGTACACGTAAGGTAAAAAATGAAGAATGAAACCCTTAAAAATAAATTCCCCACAAGGGAAATTACCAAAATTTGAAATACTTCTTGTATGTTTTATATGTAAAATGTAAATAAACAACAGCTGAACTGCAACCAAACGCATTGAAATATTAAGTATTTAATAAAATTAATTGAATATATAATGGATATATAAAGTATATATATGAAAATGATTTAATACACCAATTATATATCAAATTTTTTGTGTAATATATTATTAGGTGAAGTTTATTTAA